CCACCCGTCTGCCCCACAGCAGCGCTCAGCGCCGACCCCACCGTCCTGGGCAAGTACCGGGCTGGATTCAACGAGTGCATGAACGAGGTGACCCGGTTCCTGTCCACCTGCGAAGGGGTGAACACCGACGTGCGTACCCGCCTGCTCAGCCACCTCTCGGCTTGCCTGGGCCAGATCGTGGCCATGAACTACCCACCACCACCACCTCCACCACCACCTCCAGCCAGCCAGCCCGCACATCTGGCACAGCAGCCCCTGCACGTCCAGCTGCCCCCCGCAGCAGCCGGAGCAGTGCCTGTGCCCTGCAAGCTCAACCCCGCCGAAGCCCTGTCCCCCAAGGTCTATGGGGGCTTCCAGCTCGTCCCTGCTACCGACGGCCAGTTTGCTTTCCTCATCCCAAATCCAGCCTTTCCTCCCAGCTCCGGACCCGTTATTCCCTTGTATGCCAACACCAACGTCCCGGTGTCCGCAGGCAGCGGCTCGGGAAACGCATCCGCCACCCCGTCAGCATCCCCGGTGCAGGGATTGACATCATTTGGGGGCAGCATTGTTCCAGCATCCCAGGCGGGAAGTCCCGTTGGAGAGCGCAGTGAATCCGTGTGGAGACCGTGGTGACTTGGCTAAATGATTCCCATTCCCAAAAAAAACAACAAACTCTTCTGTTGGCTCCGTTGTATGGAGCCCTGTTGGGGTGTTTTTTTAAGCAGATTGAAACAGAAAGGAAGGAAAAGGACCTCGCTATGAACCTGCTATTTATTATTTTCAGAGGTTGGGATCTCGACTTGTATTTTTACTCCTTTAAAATGCCTTTATTTGAGATACTTTTTTCTAAAATAAAGATAAAAAGTGAGAAATAGTTTTGTAACAGATATTCAAAAGTCTAATGCCAAAGGTGTTTGTATCCTGTTTGTCTGTGCGTGTGTGTGTGCCTGTGGTGAAGACTTCCAAAAACAAAAGAGAAATGCAGGTGTTTAAATAAATAAACTCGTTGAAATAGATGTAATTTTTTCCCCCATTTCATTTTTAGTGGGTGAGAGGGACAAGCTCATCCTGAAAAAATTTTATGGCTTTAATAAGGGATTCCGGGGGGGAAATAGTCGGGAGGGAAAGGTGATGGGGTTGAGGGGGGTTAAATGGCTCCTGAGAGCTTTGCAAGTGTCATGTTCCCACTTGGAAGAAAGAGATTCCTTAAAACCTCTGTTCCTGGAACCTGAGGAAATGTGCTGCTTGCTACCTGCTCCTGCAATAATGAGCCACAGGGATTGCATTGGCGCGGGGGGGGGGCGGGGAAATGCGCACAAAAGTTACTATCTCGCCTACAAAAGAGGCAAGAGAGTCTGTCCCTATTGTGAGGAGGGTAATTAGAAGGTATAAAGGGTCTCATCGAGTATGCAGCGGGCTCTTTGGGAAGTTGGGAACCCTATTGAAACGCCTGGGAACTGGGAGCCGAGGGTTAATGTGTGTCTTTTTTTTTCCCTTGCCACTCTCATTGACAGGGCCAGATAGACTCTGATACTCAATGCTGTTGTAAATTCAATTGCCTGGCCTCACAATGCCTACCTCATAAAAGAGAATAACTCGGGGTTGTGGCTTTTTCTTTCCTCTCCAGTAAGCAAGGGGACTGAGGAAAAGGCAGTTTTGCCACCCATTCTGACTCACCCCCAGCGCTTGAATCCTGGCCAAGTGGAAGCAATTGCAGCCTCACACGCACACACACACACGGAATGAACCGCTTCCAATTGTCACCAATTAATAAGGCCGGGGGGTGGAGAAAGACCATTAAGAGTGAATGCACACTATGGAAGGGAAAGCTTTGTGTGCCCTGCTCCAAAATTACGAGGTGGGGCTATCATGTAATCTGCCAGAGCAAAGCCAGCAGACACATGTGCGTGCCAAAGCCACATCCAGAGCCATAACCCATCTTGGCTTGGCTCCCTCCATCCTCCAGGCTGTGGGATCCCCATAGGCAATGCTGATTCTCCCGCCCCATCCCTGAGACCTTGGGCTTTTGCTAGTGGGACCAGCAGCATTTCACGGTTTAGAGAATGATTTGATGAAGAACATCCAATACATACAACAGGCCCAGGGATTACTTCTTTTTAGCATCATGGAATCCCAGACTGGTTTGTGTTGGAAGGAACCTTAAAGCTCATTTATTTCCACGGGCAGGGACACCTTCCACTAGAGCAGGTTGCTCCAAGCCCCTGTGTCCAACCTGGCCTTGAACACTGCCAGGGATGGGGCAGCCACAGCTCCTCTGGGCACCCTGTGCCCGTGTCCCACCACCCTCACAGGGAAGAACAACTTCCCTATATCCAACCTAAATCTCCCCTGTTTAAATCTGAGCATGGAAATGCAATTTCATCTTTCCGGGTCTACTCCTATTAGCAATGTTCTGTGAGAACACGGCATTGTGTATGTGTGTGTTGGGAGTATATAAAGCACATTTATCCCCTTCTGAAGGCATTTTACACCTTTGTGCTATTTCAGCCACTGTTAGATACAGGAGTACAGGCTGCTCAGAGCCTGGTACTGATCCAGCCTAGCAATTCCCCTGCACCAAAGCGTGGGCAATGGATGAGTGCTGAAAGCCCTCCATCCCACCACCAGCACTAGGTATCCATTTGAATCAGGAGGTTCCCAGGAGGTTTTGTTATGCAATCACAGGCATAAAAATCATGTTACAGCAATTCTCCATCCCCCACAGCCCGTTACTACCCCTCCTCTTCTGTCTGAAGAAGGCTTGGAAGAGCAGATGAAAGCCTGCCTGTCGCCTGCCTGTAACTATATCCCTCCCCTGGGCACCACCATGTCTCTGGATGTGTCCCTCATTACCTATTTCCCCCCCCAAGATCACCCCTAGATCCAGCACGTTTATTGACAAGATGCCTGTGCTGCCAAGTGCTACAGTGCTGAGTTCAGGCACAGAATAAACCCTCTTTTCTGAGTGGGTTCCCAGTGATTGCAGCAGTGCAAACACAACACACACCACAGCATTCCTCTGGGACACGCATCTCCCAGTGTGCCAGACAGTCATTCACTGCTCTGCCTCCGAAGTGAGGCCCTGAATGCAAGCACATGAGGGTACCGTTATCATTTCAGCCTCCATCTAAACACTGCAGTGCCCCAGCACTCCGCATGTCCAGCATTGCAACCTTCCCTCTTTTTGACCTCGGGCAAAGCACAGACTTCTCCATGCTTAGGTCCAGTGGTACAGAAGCTAGACATGAGGTGCATTGTGCCAAGCAACATCCATGCCAGAAGCTCAAAACCCATCCAAGGGATGCTGTTGCCTCCATACAACATACAGCCTTAGAAGACAGACTCATACAACAGCTAGGGTTGGAAAGGACCTTAAGATCATCATTCAGTCACTGCCTGCCCTCAGGTTATACCCAAACCCAACTGCTCTTCCCGCTCTACAATGCCATTCCTCTGCAACTGAGCTCCTTCAAGGCTTTCTATACAGCTGCTTTTCCAGATTGTGCTGAATTTGGTCTTATCCCTTTAAAGGGGCAGTAAAAGAGCAAAGTATGCTGCTGCTGAAAGGTAAAAGTCCAAAGGGATGGACACAGCGCCAGAGTGATAATGAGTAGGCAGAGTGCAGCAGCCCATGGGTGCAATAGAATGGCCTGGGTGTGGTGGAGGCAGGGGAGATGGGAGGAAGACAATGGTGAAACCCAGCCCGTGATGCCTCCATCTGAACTGCAACAGCTCCAAGGGAAAAGATATGGGAATAGCTGCTAACCAGCCATTTCCTGGCACAAGGCTGAACAGAGCAGGGAGTTCAGTTCAAGCCTCAAAACTATGTGAAATGTGTATGGGTAGTTGAGCTCTGCCTCCATAGCACTGCAGCCCCAACAGGCATCCCCTGAGGAGCACTGTTTGGTGCAAGAAAAGCAGCAAAGCCCCTTCCAGCTTCCAAGCTAGCCCAGTTCACCAGCCATCAAGAACCACCTGGGAAAAGCACCTAAGGCTTTGGCTGAACTCTTTTTCCCTTCCCATATCCCACCCTGGTGCCTTTGCCTTCCTCTGCTTATGTGTTTCCCAGAGCATAAGTGTCCCAGGGTTATCCTGCTGCCTGCCTCACACAGCTGCTTCCTTGCCCTCCGCCTCCTCTGCCTCCAGCTACTCTCTGACTCAACAGCTTCACTGTTGTGATGCTTAACTGAGCGATGCAGCCTGCAGCAAGCACAGGAGAAGCCAGGGAAAGGGGGGGCAAGGCCTGCATGGGATGTCCCCCCATCCCAGTCCATTGCCAGCCTCCTGGAAGGTGGCATGGGGCTGCTTTAGGGGTCTGCATTTTGGAGGGGTGGGGGTGTATTCCAAAGCCAAGAGAGAGACGAGGGCATCCCTGACCCCCTCAACCCATGCAACCAAGGCAGGGATGCCGGCACACACCACCTTGTCCTTTGGGATGGTGCATCCCAGAGACCCTCCGAGGAGAGGGAACGGTTCCCTGTGGCTCAATGGCTGCAGCCAGATTTACTCAGGCTGTTAAGCTGATTAATTGAAATGAAGTTCCTCCAGAGAATCGGCGTGTTCTTTGAGGTCAGGGTCACAACACTGAGACGCTTAATCAGATCTTTCCATTTAGCCCCTCTTAGGCAGGCTGGAATGCAGGCTCCTTTCAAAGCAAGGCGCTTGGCGCCAAATTTCTGCTCTGCTATCTTGCCTCTTCCATTACATTTAACCAGCACATCCATCATTATGAAATAAAACCCAACGCTCCAAATCCAGCTCAGGTGATCTTTCCGCAGTCAAAGCCAGTGAGGAATAAAACCCAACCCAAGCTTGCTATTGCTGTTGTTTTAAACAGGCAGGCAGAATGGGGAGGAAAGGGTAACTGCCACTCTAAGTCGGGCCTGTCTGAGGAAGGGGGCAGATGTTTCTGTGTGGATAACAAATTCCTTTATCTGACTGAAGCATTTCTCTGGGGAAGGTGGAGGAGGTTATTATAAGGTTATCCTGAACCTTATTGTTAAAGAAAGGGTTTGTTCATTGCAATTCAAGAGCCCATCATATTACCCGCAGATAAATCACTCCTGCATGGCTATGGAGCAGCTCTTATGCAACGCACAAGGCAGATCCCACACACATTAAAGGCACTGAAAGCTTGTCCATTGTAGAGCTGATCAGGCAGAAGTTAGCATAGCCAATTAGCACATACAGTCCTTCAGTCCTGATTCAGTCCCTCTAAGCAGAAGGATGCTTCTTAAGACTGCAAATAATGTAGATGTTCCTATTTCTTTATTCTATCAGATTATTCAGGGCCAGCATCTCTATTTTGCTGTATAGCAAGATGTGTATCATTTCAGTGGCAGGATTAGAAGTGCATTACAGAGCTGCAATTAATCTAAGCAATTGAAGAACCACACACACACTCTTATATAATGCTTATATGGGGGTGTTCCCCCCAAAACCAAACCCTTTCCCATTCACTACTCAAGGTCAGGACAACAGGCACAAGGTGTAGTTGCAGACACCTATGAGATGTGGATCTTTATCAGGCACCACCAGGCTCTGAAAAAGCCAGCAGGGTGTTAGAGAAGTCAAATTAAGAACTGCTGAGTTTTGCCCTTTAAAAATCAACCTCTTCAAAGCACCTTCATCCA